GTTAAAAATAGAAAACAGCACAAATATTGGGTGTTATAACCCAATGTTATCAATGAGAACTCTAAGACTTTGGGCAAATCATTTAACTTCTGTAACTGGAGCTTTCCTTTTTTATTGTGAGACTTGAGGAAAGACAAAGGAACTGTTAGAGACTGGAAGAGGCTAAAAACAAATAACTAAAGGATATGTGATTCTGGATAGGATCCTGGAACAGAAAAAGAGTATCAGTTTGAAACTGCTGAAACAGAATTAAGATCTAGGCTTAGCACATAATAATCTAATCAATGCTAGCATCCTGTTCTTGATAAACGTACAGAAGATATTAGTGGAAGCAGGATGAAGAATGGAAGAGAACTCTTTTCTACTACTTTTATAACTTTCTATAAATTTAAGAACAATTCAAAATTAAAACTTTTTAATTTAAAAACTATCTGAATTTAATATATAGTAAGCACTCAATAACTGAGTCATTATTTTGATTATAATTATTACATTTACTATTACAGATAACTAAAATTTTATTCAATCCCAAGTCAATTTTTTTAAAGATTTATTTATTTATTTTGAAAGTCAGAGTTACAGAGAGGGAGAAACAAGGAGAGCCAAATCTCCCACTCACTAGTTCACTCTCCAAATAAAGCAACAGCCAGGGCTGAGCCAGGAGCTTCACCCAGGTCTCCCATAGGGGTACAGGGGCCCAAGAAGTTGGGCTATCTTCCACTGCTTTTTCCAAGCCATTAGCAGGGAGCTAGTTACATAGCGGAGCAGCCGGGACATGAACCTGCACCCAGTGGGATGCCCGTATTGCAGGTGGCTTTGCCAGCTATCCCACAAGGCTACACCCCTCCTCCCTGCCCAGGTCAACCTTTTTTATCTTCCTCCAGCTATAGCTAGCCTTTATCATGAGCTCCCAGTTTTCCCAAATATATAAATAGAAATCATAATTCTTTATCCTGCTTCCACTCTCTATTTTTATATGTCTTTGAGTACCTGTGAGCATCACCAGGAAACATAACCAAGCACAGATATTTTTTTGGTTGGGAATCACAAAAATTCAGTATAATTTTTGTTCATTTAACTCTAATTCAGTGTCACAGTTATCATTTTTATAATCTCATCATCTTTTCTAAATGATGGGCAAGAAATAAATTGATTTTTATTCACATCACATTTGTTTATTAAGGAAAGTAACTCATACTTACTGGCCATTTATATTTTTTCACTTATTTGACGAAACTATTCAAATTCTTTGCCCACTTCAGGTTGTTACTAATTTGTTAACAGCTCTCTATATATTAAGGACATTAATTATTTATCAACCACATAGGCTGTAAATAGCATAACCCATTTGTTACTTGCCTTTTTTATTTCAATTACACAGAGATCTTCAGATGGACAATGAATATTATGAAACAAACTATGCATAGACTTCAAACACATTTTATACCAAAAAAACTTAAGTATCCTTGTATTGCTTTTTTGGACTGAACAAATTTCCAGTATTTGTTACCAATTCTTATTTCCTTTTACACTTTTCTTATGTTTATGCTTGGAAAACCCTTTGTTCCTTTTTTCAATATTTATTTATTTATTTGAAAAGAAGAGTTAAAGAGAGAGAAAGAGAGAGAGAGAAATCTTCTATCTGCTGGTTTACTCCACAAATGGCCACAATGGCTAGGGCTGGGCCAGGCCAAAGTCAGGAGCCTGAAACTTCATCCAGGTCTCCCACATGGCTGGCAAGGGCCCGAGCACTTGGGCCATCTTTCATTGCTTTCCCAGTCCCATTAGTAAGAAGCGGGACGAGAAGTGGAGCAAGTGGGAATTGAACCGGAGCTTATATAGGAAGCCAGCATTGCAGGCGGCAACTTAAACTGCACCACAACACCAGCCCCAAACCTCCCATTTTTCATCTGGAATGGTAAGATTATGTTAAAACAAAGTATACCTTATGAAACAGGATAGAAGGGATGAACTGATAGTGTTCTGTGTGCCGTTAGTGATACAGAAAGCAGGAAGCTGGAAAGATGCTACTAAGCTGTCCTTGGACACAGTGGATCACTTACTTGTGTTTTTTGCGTTGTTTTGTTTTCATAAAATTACAGTGGAGCAGTCAGGACTCACACCAGAGCTCATTTGAGATGCTGGCATCACAGTCAGCAGCTTAACCTGCTGCCACAATGCCAGATCCTCTTTGTTACTTTTAGATATTTTATTTATTTATTTTGAGGCAGATACAGAGACAGACAGACACTGAGCTCCTATCCACTAAGTTTACTTGCCAAAATGCCTCCTATAGGGAGGCCTGAGACAGGCTCAAGCCAGCAATTCAGTCCAAGTCTTCCGCATGAGAGGCATGGACCCAAAAATTTGAGTTATCACCTGCTGCTTCCTATTCTGCATAGTAGTAGGAAGCTGGGATTGGGAGCATAGCCAGGACTTGAACCTAGACACTCTGATTTTTTTTAAAGATTTATTTACTTATTTGAAAGGCAGAGGTACAGAGAAAGAAGGGGGCAAGAGGTGGGGAGAGATATCATCTATCTGCTGGCTTACTCCCCAAACAGCCAGGGTTGGGTCAGGCCGAATCCAGGAGCTTCTTCCAGCTCTCCCACATGGGTAAAGGGGCCCAGGGACTTGGGCCATCTTCTGCTACTTTCCCAGGTGCACTAGCAGGGAACTGGATCAGAAGTGGAGCACCTGGAACTTGAACCAGAACCCACATGGGATGCTGGCGCTGCAGGCCATGGCTTAACCAGCTATGCCACAGTGCCAACCCCTGCCAAGCAGCATCTTAACCAACAGACAAAATGCCCATCCCTGAAGTATTATTTATAATGGTTTTGTCATATTTTTTTCATATATTTGTGATATAAGTTGACATTATGAAACATTACCAAGGTATAAAAATCTTTCTTTTCTCTCCCCTACAAAATGAATATCCAGTCATTCTTCCTTTGTCTTCTCATTTAAAATGTCACTATTACCTTAAAAATTTTCTTAATATAAGGAGAATACATTTCATGTATTTCAAAGATACAATATCTAAGAACATAAGGCTATTTCTTTCCCTCCTCCTTCCATTTAAAAAATTTTTCCAATAACAAACTTTCAATTTACTTTATAATCACAGGCTTAATATTCTACTAAATGTAGTGATCAACAAGTAAAAAGTAAAAAGATCACTGTTCCATAGGAATATAGCCAAGGGTTATATACAATAATCAAATCATAATATGTCGGCCGGCGCAGCGGCTCACTAGGCTAATCCTCCGCCTTGCGGCGCTGGCACACAGGGTTCTAGTCCCAGTTGGGGCGCCGGATTTTGTCCCGGTTGCCCCTCTTCCAGGCCAGCTCTCTGCTGTGGCCAGGGAGTGCAGTGGAGGATGGCCCAAGTACTTGGGCCCTGCACCCGCATGGGAGACCAGGAAAAGTACCTGGCTCCTGCCTTTGGATCAGCGCGGTGTGCCGGCCATGGCAGCCATTGGAGAGTGAACCAACGGCAAAGGAAGACCTTTCTCTCTGTCTCTCTCACTCACTGTCCACTCTGCCTGTCAAAAAAAAAAATCATAATACGTCAATTTCACTCCTATACATCAGTTTTTTTTTTCTTTTTGAACTCTATATATTAGCCAGAACACAGAGAAAACATATGATATGCATCTTCTGGTCTCTGGCTTATTTCACTAAGCATAATGGTCTCCAGTTGTGTCCAGTTTGTTGCAAAAGACAGTATTTCTTAACTTCTTACATAGATCAGACTATGCATCTAGTCTTAATATTCATTTTGAATAGTCCAACTGACATTCTTTCACTAATACCACTCTGTTCCAGTTTCTCTAACTTCAAAACTTTTAGTATTTGGTAGCTTAAGTTGACACAAGAAACTTTACTAAATACATATTATATATTACACACACTGTGGTCAGTGCTAAGGTAAAGCTAAAACTAGGAGCCACAATACTTGCCACCTTGATCTAGTGATCCACCCATTATGCCTATTTCTAGGAAGCTTCTTTTAAGAATAAAAATACAAGTATTTACTTTCAAATATTTTTCTCAATGTATCCAACATTACTGGCCAAGAAAAATATACATGTAAATATATAAAAGTACAATATACAGATCTCTAAAAATGACAAAAATGTAAGTACCACTACCTCAAATTTACATAGTCTACTCTTGAAGTTCAAAATATCTTGCTTGAGGGCCGGCACTGTGGTGTATTGGGCTAAACCTCTGCCTGGGGCTCCAGCATCCCAAATGGTTGCCGGTTCATGTCCTGGCTGCTTCTCTTCCGTGCCACCTCTCTGCTATGGCCTGGGAAAGCAATAGAGCATGGCCCAGGTGCTTGGGCCTCTGCACCTGCTGGGGACCTAAAAGAAGCTCCTGGCTCCTGGCTTTGGATCAGCTTAGCGCAGGCTTGGCTCTGGCTATTGCGGCCATCTGGGGAGTAAGCCAGCGGATGGAAGATCTGTCTCTCTGTCTCTCCCTCCCTGTGGCTCTACCTCTCAAATAAATAAATAAAATCTTTAACAAAAAAATCTTGCGTGTTCTAAATGAACAAAAGAGAAATCTATAAATCTCAGGACTCTTACCGTACATTTGGGTCATGGTCTACTATTTTGATCTTGTGGCAGTAGTAAGCAAAGAGCATTCCTATCTCTTCCCCTACAACCAATCTCATTTTGTTCTCAGGAATACAGAGCCAGGTATATAAACAAAGATTTGGTGAACTGAGTAGTTTTGGTTCCTCTCACACATCTCCTATTTCAGTCATGTTCATCTCAACATACTTAGGAAAGAACAAAGGGGAAGTAAGACGGCAGAATGAAACGCAGCAAATGACTCAGAAAATGTTGTCTCCTCTCAGCAAGAATCTAGCTTCTATAGGTAATGAAATTTCTCAAAAAAAGTTAGGGACATTTTACACCCCCAAAACCTCAGGACTGATACAGTGTCCCAAATAGTGCCGCAGCAAGGTCTGCTGAAAACACACGCACCTGTAAGGGTGATGTCGTCGTCGTCGTCATCAATGATTTCCTCCTCAGCGACGTCCAGGGAGCTCTCAGTAATCATGTCATTGGGCTCTTCCACACAGGCCAGACCAGCGTAACTATTGAGAATATCCGCCCCAGGAACATGTTCCACAATTACTGCAGGAAAAATCGCTGGATCACCAAGCTGGAAAGGGTAGAGAAAGAGAGGTGAGAGAAAACAAATGCTTAAAAGTTTCATTTTTGTTACAAATATAATCCAAAAATATTTCATGCTGGTCATCAATTTAGCTTTTACTTCATAAGCCACTTGATCTTCTACATTTTTGGGGCTGCAGAGAATATCTTTCCATTAAGGTCATCTAAATTTCCATTATTCTTGGGTCTTACTACCCAAGTTTCATTGGGAAACCTATAAATAATCTATAGTTTTTAAATGACATTAAATTTAAAAGCTTTATAATATATCAATGCATAAGCATGAACCAAGAAGTGATATGCAAATATAAAATACAATTAAGTAAAATCTCAAAAGTTTGGCATGGGCTGGCGCCGTGGCTTACTTGGTTAATCCTCCGCCTGCGGCGCCGGCACCCCAGGTTCTAGTCCCGGTTGGGGCGCTGGATTCTGTCCCGGTTGCTCCTCTTCCAGTCCAGCTCTCTGCTGTGGCCTGGAAGGGCAGTGGAGGATGGCCCAAGTGCTTGGGCCCTGCACCTGCATGGGAGACCAGGAGGAAGCCCCTGGCTCCTGGCTTCGGATTGGCGCAGTGCGCAGGCCATAGCGGCCATTTGAGGGGGGTGAACCAATGGAAAAGGAAGACCTTTCTCTCTCTCTCTCTCTTTCTAACTCTGCCTGTCAAAAAAAAAAAAGTTTGGCATGAACCAAAAAATAGTACCTGTGAGCTTAATAAATACACCATCACTTGACATAGAGGCTTGATTTTAACAACAGCTTTTGACTCAAACAGGAAAATTAACTTTCATTTTCTTTATTGTTCTCTTCAATCATAGCTATTAACAGTACACATTATTACTGTTAATGTCTAGTTATGAAATCATGGAATTTTGGAACTAAGGAAGCCTTAAAGTTTAATCTAGTACATCCACCTTGTTTTACAGATGAGGAACTGACCCAGATAGTTTCCAGCAATCCACTCAGAAATCACTTAGGGACAAACCTCATTAAGCTTGTACCTCTTTAACTTTCAATTTTGAAACAATTCCAGATTTAGAAAAGTTGCAAACACAGCACAAATAATTCCCATACAACCTTCCTCTATATTCCTCAAATTACAGCATTTAATCACAACTCCAAGAATATTTCTTTTTTTTAACTCCAAGAATATTTCAAAATGTTCATAGGCAATGCATATTATGAAAAAAACCCATGAATTTCAAAACTTTTTGTACCAAATATATTTTAACTCCATTTTTCCATGAACTTTATGAAGCACACTTATATTTATTATTCTCTTCCTATATTATTTTCTAATTTGTTTGAAAGTGGTAGAGATTTCGCTCCTTTAACCTTGAACATTCCAGTAATTTATTTCCTAAATGCTCATATAAGAATATCTTATATAAATACAGCACAATTATCGAAACCAGAAAGTAACATGAGTATAAGGGTACTTCAAAAAGTTTGTTGAGAAAAAGGAATTAAGGGGTGCCCTGTGGCGTAGCGTGGTAGGTTAAAGCTGCCGTCTGTAGTGCCGGTATCACCTATGGGCGCCAGTTCAAGACCCAGCTGCTCCACTTCTGATCAGTTCTCTACTATGGCCTGGGAAAGCAGCAGAAGATGGCCCAAGTCCTTGGGCCCCTGCACACATGTAGGGGACCCAGAGGAAGCTCCTGGCTCCTGGCTTCAGATCGGCTCAGCTCCGGCTGTTGTGGCCATTTGAGGAGTGAACCAGCAGATGGAAGATATTGCTCTCTGCCTCTCTGCAACTATGCCTTTCAAATAAATTAACAATGGAAAAAAAACAATGGAAAGAAAAAGGTATTAAAAGGTTAGTTTACTTTGGTGCAACAATAACTTGAAGTCTATGCACACTTTTTTCATAATATGTATTTTCCATAAACAAATTTTTTGAAGGCTCCTCATATACACGTTTCATAAATTTTTGACACCCAAATAAATTTATCTTTTAATTCTATTATCCATGAACTTTTTGAAGCGCAACGCTATAATATAATCAATTTGTTGCTGATATCCTTTATAAAAAAAAATGAACAAAAATTTTTTTGGTTCAGGAGTCAATGTAGCATCATAGGTTTAATTTAATAAATATCCTGTCTGTTTCTTAATAACAAGTCTTTTAACCTGAAATATTTTTTTTCCTTTAACCTGGAATAGTTCTTCAGCCTTTGTCTTTCACAATCTTGACAGTTTTGCAGAGTATAGAGCATTTATTTTGTAGAATGTTCTCAACCTGGGTTTGTATGGTATCTCCTCTCCTCAATCATTCAATTATTTTCATTTTTGGCGCGAATACCAAAAAAAGTATATACAAATACAGTATGTCATAGCTTTTAAAATATGTATTTGTCAGGGCCGGCGCTGTGGCATAGCAGGGAAAGCTGCCACCTGCCGTGCTGGCATCCCATATGGGCACCAGTTCGAGTCCCGACGGATCCAGCTCTCTGCTGTGGCCTAGGAAAGCAGTAGAAGATGGCCCAAGTCCTTGGGTCCCTGCACCCACGTGGGAGACCCGGAAGAAGCTCCTGGCTTTGAATCTGCGCAGCTCCAGCTGTTGCAGCCATCTGGGGAGTGAACCAACAGATGGAAGACCTCTCTTTTTCTCTCTGTCTCTGCCTGCCTCTCTGTAACTCTGACTTTCAAGTAAACAAATAAAACCTTAAAAAAAAATCTGTATGTCCTATAGCTGGGGTTATTAATTTTGATCACTTAGTTAAGGTAGTGTCCATCAGATCTCTTCAGCTGTAAAGTTACAATTTTTCCCTTTGTAACTAATAATTATATTATAGGAAGATACCTCAAGACTATGCAGACATTTTGGTTCTTACGTAAACATTTCACCCATAAAGTATCATCTTCTTAAATATTAAAAAAAAAGTTCTTGCTCATAGGTAATGTCAGATACTTTGCTATTTTCCTTAGTTAATTCTATATTGAAATTATGTATGGTTTCATTATAACTCAGCAGCCTCAATCTTTTAAAATTCATGTTTGCAGAACTGCACGTTGAGATTATAGATATTACTCCCACCATAAGAATTATCTAAATTAAATATGTATCAGGTCCTACACAGATCTATCCTTTTCTTCAAGATGTCATGCTTTGAAATTTACAAATAATAACCCAAAACACATTTGGATCGTTTTATTTCAAAATGCTTCTTCCTGTTTCAGAAAACAGGAAGTTAACCAGAAGTAGCTGGCTCTTTGAATTATAAAGTAAGTTTTAAAACAAAAACTAGGAAGTTCAAAAATTATATTATAAAACACACATGCACACACAGAAAAAGAAGACGATGGAATACAACATATCCAATCAAAGAGACCTTTTGACCTTCCTTCTTCCCTTTAAGAGAAATGATTAATGCACAAGTAATCCAACCTAGTATGAAGCTGTGCTTGCTAAAACTTTTTATTTTCCTCAAGTTAAGCTTCTGTCTTCTAACACAGCTAAGCACAAAATTGGAAACATTTTCACGATTTCATTTTATGCTGCAATAACCCTATCTACAAGGTAAGAGCAGACATCATTCCATCCATTAACAGATGAAGAATTGGGTTAGGAAACTTAACAAGGTTACCTACTAAGTCAGAGACAGAGATGGGTCAGATATGATTCACAAAAGCCTTCACACAAATGAAACAAAAATATGCCTACCTACCCCAATCCATTTGGCTCCTGCAACCTGGGCAGACAGTAGTCAGAATGTGGATACTGAGTGAGATCCCAGTGGAAAGAACAGGCCATCAAAGAAGGAGGTACCTTTCTCTGAAGGGAGGAGAGAACTTCCACTTTGACTATGGCCTTGTCTAAATAAGATCGGAGTTGGTGAACTCAAGAGGCTTCCATAGATCTGGCAGCTCATGTCAAGAGCCTTGGGTGATTACTAACGTCATAAATAAGAGTGGCAATTGTTCAATCAACGACAGGAGTCACTATGCACTTACTCCCCATGTAGGATCTCTGTCCTTCATGTGTTGTACTATGTGAATTAGCGGTATAACTAGTATTCAAACAGTACTTTATACTTTGTGTTTCTGTGTGGGTGCAAACTGTTGAAATCTTTACCTAGTATATACTAAGTTGATCTTCTGTATGTAAAGATATTTGAAATCTTGATGAAGAATGGGATGGGAGAGGGAGTGGGAGATGGGAGATGGGATGGTTGCAGGTAGGAGGGAGATTATGGGGGGAAAAAGCTGCTATAATCCAAAAGCTGTACTTTGGAAATTTATATTTATTAAATAAAAGTTAAAGAAATGTGGATATTACAAGGGATTCTCCAAAACTTCATCTGAATCTATGTAGTCCAAGTTTCAAATAACTACAAATATTGATTCCTACTTTTTTCCTTGTCCTGTTCTACTTACCTATAATTGGGTTGAAATAGTTGATCACTCCATTCTCTGGCATTTACAGGTATTTATAGGTATTGTATACCTTGCCAAATATCACAATAACCAACTCCACTTCTACTCCAGTTCCCTCCCCAAAGGCAAACATTCTTACCAGTCTCTGTTCCCAAACACAGAAAGTCTGTATATAATAAAACATATTCCAATTTGCTTTAAAGGATCCTTTTAACTTCAATTTTAAGAATTTAACATTAAGCTATTAAAATTTTAAACACACACAAGTTTCCTTTGAAGCAGAAGTTTAAGAATGAAAGGAACACATGGTTCTGTGATTTAGTACAAAAGAAATCTGTGAACCTGAGGCCTAGGGTCTTCTTCAACCCTGATTCTGTTATGTTAATATCCTCACCTATAAATGAAGGAAGAGCACCAGCTGATCCTAAGGGCACTACCAGGTTTTGTTTAATTAAGATGTATTTTAACTTCAGGTATTTTCATGCTCATGCTCATAACATTACAACATGAGCTTATTCATTTTATACACTAAACAGGAAGAGAGCAGGATGCCCAATGGCCATGTAGCTGCTGTCCTGTCTACTATTATTAGCAAACATAATTAACATGCCAAGCATTTTTGCCCACTGTTTTACAAGTATTACCACTCTAACACCACAAAACCCTATGAGGAAAATATACTGGACTCTACTTTCTACATGAGAAAATGGAGGCAAGGAGAAGGGAAGCATGAGGTCATTCAAATGTTCATGGAAAACATGCAGTACCTTTTAGGTCATTTCCCTACACAGTTTTAAAAGTATCCTTCTATAGTGGGCTCTCCATATCCAACAATTCAACTGCAAGTCAAAAATATTCAGAAAAACTTGTCTAAACTAAATGTGCACAGATTTTTCCCTCTTAACAATATAGTATAAGACCTGTTTACACTATATTAGTTATAGTAAGGAATCTGGAGGTGATTTAAAGGATATGCATATGTTACATGTAAACACTGCAACATTTAATATCAGGAACTTGAGCATCCACAGATTCTGGTGGCCACAAAGAGTCCTAGAACTGAGGAACAATTAATTCAGCATAATACATCTGTTTAGCAAGTGGTAGAACCCTAGCTTGAACTGACTCCAGTGCTCCTTACCTATACATCATTATAGTCAGCCTTCAGGCCGGTGCCGTGGCTCATTAGGCTAATCCTCCGCCTGCAGCACCGGCACCCCAGGTTCTAGTCCTGGTTGGGGTGCCAGATTCTGTCCCGGTTGCTCTTCTTCCAGGCCAGCTCTCTGCTGTGGCCCAGGAAGGCAGTGGAGGATGGCCCAAGTGCTTGGGCCCTGCACCTGCATGGGAGACCAGGAGGAAGTACCCGGCTCCTGGCTTTGGGCACAGCGTTAGCCGTAGCGGCCATTTGTGGGGTGAACCAATGGAAGGAAGACCTTTCTCTCTGTCTCTCTCTCTCACTGTCTAACTCTGCGTGCAATAAAAAAAATCAGCCTTCAACCTGAGCTTTGTTTTGTTGGCATATTTACTTAGCTCTGTTTAAAAAAAAAAACAGAATAGGAAAGAAAATGGAGGCATGACTTTCAATATTATCTTTTCCAGGGATTCACCAATCTGCAAGCTTTTTGTGGAGACAACCAGTTCTTTCTGGCCTGCAGAGTGCCTTCAGGGATCATTACCTAGTGCATCCAGGGTTCAGAATTACTGTTCTAAAAAAAATTACAACATTCAAAACTGTATTCTTTAACTGAGTCAACTTTAATTATTCATGCCATTACCTGGGATATTAGTGACCAGACAGTTATATGAAAACTTTCCTGTTCAGCACTTGCAGATTATTTTTCCTTTTCTTTTTGGGAAAGTAAAACACAATCTGGGTTATTAAATAGGAAAGGACTCCTCGCAATTAAACCAGTTTTCAAACTCTGAATTTCCAGTAGCAAATTAAACTTGTCAAGATAAACTAATTTTCATTTGTTCAGTAACTTTATCAAAGTTCTTAATAGCTCCAGCGTGAAAAATGCATATGCTAATTTTCCTTTACTAGGGGAATTTAGGACAAGTATTGAAAGAAACTTTTTAACAGCAATAATAGAAGGAGAGACAGTTCCCCAAATTGCAACACTGTTGGCCATATAGCTTCCAGTTTTTGTTGCTGATCACATATGTGGCAATACCATCAAGACAAAAAGACAAGGAAAGTGACCTAAACAATGTTACTCTCTGAAACAGGTTTGCTTGTTCCCTCAATATACCACAAACCAAAAGTCCTAGGTGGATATTTAAGATACTATGGATCATTATTACAACTCTAATAAGTAAAAGCTAATTCTACAGGTCTCTGGATACAAAAAAGCTTAGTAGCTTTCACATAACTTGTGTGCCAAGCTTCTCTTAACAGCAGAACTCAATCTGTTAAATGATGATTGTGAAACATCCTACTAAACTCTTCTATGCAACATCTTATTTCATTTTAAACTATTAACTGTTTTCCTGAAACAAACAAAGGAGGTTTAGAACTTACCTTTTTAAAATTCCCAGTGCAATGGTCCTTTTTAAGAACAGGTGTAAAACACAATTTCAAAGCAGTTCATACCATACCCTTGTGCAAAGACAAGGCAATACAAACAGTGTTCTGGCGCCTTTCTCTCCCTAGAGTCTTCAATAGCTCCCCAACACCAATTCTCTCCAATAAACACAGAAAGTCTAAATTTAGTGTACTCACTATGAAAACACATCTTTGAGACAAGTTCCTGTGCACTGTCTTCAAATCAGATTGCAGCCCCAAAGCCTCATCCTAACAAAACACTGCTTTGAGGACTTCTGACATTCCTGAATTATTTCCTTGCCTTTGATTTAAAAAAACAAAAGCACAAAACCAAAAATCCAGCACTTCACTCTATCATGGCCACATCTGACACTTTACCATGAGGGCACTGCACTATACACACACTATCAAAGCAGGGTTAGCCATTTTCAAGTTCTTATTTTAAGACCTGGTCCCACCATGTCTTATGATTTAGATTAAGGCAAATATCCAGCCTTTCTAGATTTCAGTTTTTGCATCTATCTAAAACAGTAATATCTTCTAAAGTTTTTCTTTTTTTTAATTAAATATGTATTTTATTTATTTGAGAGGTAGAGTTACAGACAGAGAGGTAGAGACAGAGAAAGAGGTCTTCCATATGCTGGTTCACTCCCCAGATGGCCACAATGGCCAGAGCTGCACCAATCCGAAGCCAGGAACCAGGAGCTTCTTCCAGGTTTCACAGGGGCCCAAGGACTTGGGCATCTTCTACTGCTATCCCAGGTCATAGCAGAGAGCTGGATAGGAAGAGGAACAGCCGGGACTGGGACCAGCACCCATATGGGATGCCAGCGCCTCAGGCCAGGACTTTAACCCGCTGCACCACAGAGCCCACCCCCTAGAGTTTTTCTAAGAATTAAATAACATGTAAATAAGTCACCTGTTAAACTGGATGGCATAGAGTAAGTAGTCAAGATATCCTGTTAAAAGTCTTTCATTATTTGATTTAGCTAGATATACTCTTACAAGTTGACAGTATAAACTTACATTGAAAAGACATGGTTTTAGGTTTTTTTTTGGGGGGGGGTTTAAAATATTTATTTATTAGAGGCGGCGCTGTGGTATAATGGGTAAAGCCACCACCTGCAGTGCTGGCATCCCATATGGGTGCAGGTTCAAGTCCAGGCTGCTACACTTCCGATCCAGCTCTCTGCTATGGTCTGGGAAAGCAATAGAAGATGGCCCAAGTCCTTGGGCCCCTGTGCTGGCATAGGTGACCGGGAGGAAGCTCCTGGCCCCTGGCTTCAAATTGGTGGCCAATTGGGGAGTGAACCAGCGGATGGAAGACCCCTCTCCCTCTCCCTTCCCCTCCCCTCCCCCTCTCCCAATTAGATTGGTGAACAAATCTAATCATCTATACTTAGCAGCAACCCTTCCTTCAAATAAAAACAAAAGGTGATCTATAAATGTGCTCACTCTGAATGTTTATCAAAGTGTACACTTAAAGCCTGTGCATATTTTTGTATTTATGCTGTACTTCAATAAAAAGTTTAAAAAGCAGAGGCCCACCTGATAGAAAAAAAAACTTCAAAATGACTTCACCTTACTTTTCTTTAGTTTCAGTTCTAATCATTGTTCTGCCACAGAGATGGGAGAAGTTGGGGGAGGGGAATCCAAATAAATACTAGGATGGTATTGCTTGATTATTTCATGTAAATCATGATAAAATTATAGTAAATCTCTAGACACAGTATATCTAGATGGATACAAACACACACACACACACAAAATCAGGGTGACTGGTGAACAAAATGAAAATTGAAATTCTTTAAAACAAGTTTCCAAAGTACATTTTTATAAATTATTTTTGGAAATAAATTAGTATTGGAATATATTTGTATTACAAGAGTGTAGGGGCCAGCGCTGTGGCATAGCAGCTAAAGCCACCGCCTGCAGTGCCAGCATCCCATATGGGTGCCAGTTCGAGTCCCAGCTACTCCACTTCTGATCAAGCTCTCTGCTATGGCCTGGGAAAGCAGCAGAAGATGGCCCAAGTCCTTGGGCTCCTGCACCCGTGTGGGAGACCCAGAAGAAGCCCCGGGCTCCTGGCTTTGGATGGTGCAGCTCGGGCCATTGCAGCAATTTGGAGAGTGAACCAAGGGATGGAAGACCTCTCTCTCTGCCTCTCCTCTCTCTGTGTAACTCTGACTTTCGGATAAAGTTTTTTAAAAAAAGAATGTAAAGCATTACTGCTCCTTTTCCATATAGTGCCCCTCCCCAATGGCTACCACTGTTACCAATTTCAAAAGCACATTTTAAATGATTTCAGGAATTGAAGCTGATAGAACAAAGACATAAGCCTTAGCCATTCTCAATCATTGCCCAAAAGATAGATAAACACTGGAATTTATTCCTTGCCCTTGAATCTCAATTGGGCCTCACACTCTATTGCCTTTACACCCCTGCATTCTTTCCCAGGTTCCCAAGGCCCCACAGGTCCACCTGAAAGACCAGTTCTAGGAATCGGCCTCTGCTGCTGCCTCCTACCCCTACCCCCATCCCTAGCCCTCCTAAAATATAAAAAGGCCGGGCCCCTAGGGTCAGGGCCTTCTGCAACGTGTTCCATCAATGTGCACACTGGCAGCTGGTGAACCACCTCTAACAATTATTCTCTGAATAAATCTGGTCTGACTCCAGATTCGTATACTGCCTCCTCTCTATTCTGCACCTCTCTTCCTAACATTTTTGGTGCTCTGTGTGAAGAGGCACCCATCCGTGCCTCTTTTCTTAACAGAAGTTTTATATAAAATAAGCTGGATTGTGCAATAGATCTCCAAGGTCCAGCACAAAGTTTTCTGTGAAGCATTTTTCACAGCCAAATTCTCTGAATACTTGGAGAAATTTGCCACTAACACAGCTTCATTATCTGCACATGAGAATATTTCTGTTGATTAGCTCAAGCTCTTTATTCTTAACTTTAAAAGAAAATAAAAAGCAATTTTAACAACCAGACAGAAAAGTTTACCTAGTTTGTAGTACACACTACCTAATATGTTAGTCTACCTTAAAAACATCAATTAAAAATACAGTATGTGAACCTAGTTTTTAAAAATTTAATACATAAATGTATTTGTGAAAAAGTAATAATCCTATTTATTCTAGGTATAAATTACTATAAAAATAATTTACTTAATATTTTTCCAGATTCTCTTTTTCATGTGTGGTTGCTTTTATCTCTTACATCCTAGAATAAATGTAAAGAATTTGGTGTCCCTTGAGTCAGATCCAAGTCCATGCAGGTGTTGTCACTTTATACTCATTCCTTTCCAGGCAACAACGACTCTTTCATATAACCTCTCTCTGAGATTCCTCACTATAAGGGTTTTCCTTATTTGTAAAGTGGAGATAATGAGTTATTGTATTAACAGTTATCAACAAAATTATTGTGAATATGAAAAAGAAAACACATATCACATAGAGGTCCTGGCACAGGGAAGAGATAATAAATATTCCCTCTTATTATACTACAACAAAATACTTATCTTGATATGACCCATAGGTATATATGCACATTTTGCCAAATTTTAGTATCTATTTTGTGTTCACTTTGTAAAAATGAATTAGGAAACTTGCTCTAAACTGAACTATTTAAACAATTCATTAAATCTTAAATAACCATGGAACTATTTGGGCTACCAGTGTTATGCATGTGGGAATTGTTCCATGGCAATTTCCTCAGTTTCCTTCATGGTTACAAATGCATTTTCACTTCATGAAAGATACCCATTCTAAGTTACTTGTACTCCAAAAACTTAAAAATAGTTCCATGTATTCACTCAAAGAAAATTCACAAGGAAATCAACAAACATCCAATAAAGCAAATTATCCTCTAGTAGATACTCTGTAAGAATAGTGGTAGGGCCAGTGCTGTGGTGTAGTAGGTTAAGCCTCCACCTGCAGCCCGACATCCCATATGGACGCCAGCTTAAGTCCCAGCTGTTCGACTTCTCATCCAGTATCCCTGCTAATAGCCTGGGAAAGCAGCAGGAGATGGCCCAAAGTCCATGGACCCCTGTACCCACTTAGGAGACCCAGAAGAAGCTCCTGGCTTCGGATTGGCTCAGCTCCAGCTGTTGCGTCCATTTGGGGAGTGAACCAGCGGATAGAAGACTTCTCTCTGTAATTTTGCCTCGCAAATAAATAAATAGATGATAAAAAAAACAACTTGCTAAGGTTCAGCCAACGATGCCTAAAGTAGTTGGGTCCTAAGATCCTGGCTTTGGCCTTACTCAGCCCTAGCTGTTGTAGGCATCTGGAGGGTGAACCAGCAGATGAGAGATCTTTCTCTCCCCCTGCTCCATTCAAATAGAAAGGAAGAAAACAACAAGAAAAATCATGCTTAAAATATCAAATTTGGATCCTTAAAAAAAAAAAAGTGCTAGTAAATTAGAACTGGAATCCAGACACTAATCTGTTATTTTGGAGAGTGATTACTCTGGGTGCCTTGGTAACCCCGCCTCCAAGTCTATCAAAAGTGAAAGGTTCTAATATAGGCCACTCAAGATAACATTATGCTGGGGGCGGTTCTGTGGTACATTGGGTTAAAGCTTCAGCCTACAGTGCCAGCATCCCATATGGGAGCCAGTTCAAGTCCCAGCTGCTTCACTTCTGATTCAGTTACCTGTAACAGCCTGGGAAACCAGTGGAAGATGGCCCAAGTGGTTGGGCTCCTGCACCTATGTTGGAGACCCGGATGAAGCTCCTGGTCTTGGCTTCTGAGTGAACCAGTGGATGGAAGACTTCTCTCTCTCTCTGTCTCTACTTCTCTATAACTCTATCTTTCAAATAAATAAAACAAATCTTTTTTTTTTTTTTTTGGACAGAGTGGACAGTGAGAGAGAGAGACAGAGAGAAAGGTCTTCCTTTGCCGTTGGTTCACCCTCCAATGGCCGCCACAGATGGTGCGCTGCAGCAGGCGCAGCGCACTGATCCCATGGCAGGAGCCAGGTGCTTCTCCTGGTCTCCCATGGGGTGCAGGACCCAAGCACTTGGGCCATCCTCCACTGCACTCTCGGGCCATAGCAGAGAGCTGGCCTGGAAGAGGGGCAACCGGGACAGAATCCGGCGCCCCGACTGGGACTAGAACCCGGTGTGCCGGCACCGCAAGGCAGAGAATTAGCCTAGCGAGCCGTGGCGCCGGCCTAAAACAAATCTTAAAAAAAAAAAAAAAAAAAAGAACTGCTGCAAGGATTAAATTACTTTTTTTAAAAAAGATAACATTAGGGGCCGACGCTGTGGTGTAGCAGGTAAAGCCGCCACCTGCAGAGCTGGCATCCTATATGGGCGCTGGTTCGAGTCCCAGCTGCTCCACTTCCTATCCAACTCTCTGCTATGGCCTAGGAAAGCAGTAGAAGAAGGACCAAGCTCTTGAGCCCCTGCACCCGCGTGGGAGACCTGGAAGAAGCTCCTGGCTCCTGACTTTGGGTCAGGCCACCTCCAGCCATTGTGGCCACTTAGGGAGTGAACCAGCGGATGGAAGACCTTCCCCTCTCTCTCTGCCTCTCTCTCTCTGTATAACTCTTTCAAGTAAAATAAATCTTAAAAAAAAAAAAAAAACATTATACTACAGAAAATTGATAGAATACTATCTCTATCACAGGGTAGCTTGTGGGAAACAATGTGTATGCAGAGAAAACTCTGTAACCTACAAAGGGCTATACAAAATGTTAAGCAGTATTAGCTTTACACAGTACTCAGTAAGTCAATCACAAAATGTTTTCTTGGCAGAAAAGTTAACATCCAGAGCAACAGTAGGGCAGAGAATGTAGACACATGTCTCTATTAGCCTCCTCAACTCCCAGTGACTTTCTTTCCTCAATATTCTAGCTTTTAAGGATTATATTATACACGCTATAAATATCACTAAACAGGTAAGTATTATGTTATATGGCTTAATACAGGAGGAAAATAATTGAAGTCTCTGGTAATTAACAAAGTGCTTCCAACTAAAAAGAAACTGACTACACTACAGTGCTAGGTAAAAAGTGTTCTTTAGTCTATCTTTGAGTTTTTCAAAGTAATAAACTATAAAATAAAATGGTACTGATAATGCGGTAATGATGATGATTAAAGTTGCCACTTTATACATACTTTATGTATGTACTTCATATGGCTTACACCACTTAATTGCCACAACAACACTATGCTAGTTTGTTGACATTTCTAGACAACCAGCCGAGAGGAGGCAGAACCAAGATCTGAATCCAGGCATTGTGACTCCAGGGTCGTCAGCTTAACCACCACCATAGACAACAAATTCACGATCCTGCAAATAAACTGCAGTCACACTCAAAGTTTCATCTTAAAGCTTGGCTTTAAAAATATACATATAGATACAAATTTGTTGTACTTCTGTCGGCTCTAGCAGACGTGAGTATTTCTGAAGAAACCTGGCTTCCTTGTTGATCAGTGCCATCAAAATGCAAGTCTAATTAAATGGTCTTTCCCTCAGACTTCCCCAAGATAACATTTGAAATTCCATTGAAAATCCCTGAGGAGCTGTTTAAACAAAGTCTAATCCCAGCATAGCTCTTTCAAGACAACTGCCCTTCTTTAGTCTTTTTCTTATGGGAGTGCTCACTTGAAAAGTTCAGTATGGATGGCTTATATGTGTGTGTGAGGTTCTATATGACAAGTCAGTTACAGAAATAGGGTGTAGTAAATTTCAACCAGGCTTAAATGTTTACCTTATTTACACAAATTAAAGGTCAATTTTTGCTTCAAATGAAGGATTTTAATAAGAATCTTATATGTACATAGAACAGAATAAAAAGAGGCAAAACATTCTCAAATAGATGATAATAGACACAATCTTTGTGTACAGACTTAGAACCACTGAACTGTGTACTTTAAACAGGTGAGTTATATAGTCTGTGAATTATGTCACAATAAAGCTTTTTTAAAAAGATATATACATAGGGCCAGCGCCGCGGCTCAATAGGCTAATCCTCCGCCTTACAGCACCGGCACACCGGGTTCTAGTCCCAGTCGGGGTGCCAGATTCTGTCCCGGCTGCCCCTCTTCCAGGCCAGCTCTCTGCTATAGCCCGGGAGTGCAGTGGAGGATGGCCCAAGTGCTTGGGCCCTGCACCCCATGGGAGACCAGGAGAAGCACGAGGCTCCTGGCTTCGGATCAGCGTGATGCACCGGCCACAGCGCACCGGCCATTGGAGTGTGAACCAATGGCAAAAAAAAAAAAAAAAAGGAAGACCTTTCTCTCTGTCTCTCTCTCTCTCTCTCTCTCACTGTCCACTCTGCCTGCAAAAAAAAAAGGATATACACATAGGCTGGCGCCACAGCTCACTAGGCTAATCCTCCACCTGCGGCGCTAGCACCCTGGGTTCTCGTCCTGGTTAGGGTGCTGGATTCTGTCCCGGTTGCTCCTCTTCCAGTCCAGCTCTCTGCTGTGGTCCAGCTCTCTGCTGTGGTCCAGAAGGGCAGTGGAGGATGTCCCAGATCCTTGGGCCCTGCACCCACATGGGAGACCAGGAGGAAGCACCTGGCTCCTGGCTTCAGATCGGCACAGCACGCCGGCTGTAGCAGCCACTTGGGGGATGAACCAATGGAAAAAGGAAGACCTGTCTCTCTGTCTCTCTCTCTCACTGTCTAACTCTGCCTGTCAAAAAAAAATATAAAAAAGATATATACATAATAAGAGTAGTCTACATATAATTATATTAAATTAATTAGAATGAATAACACTGTTTTGTTAACATCATAAATGCAAAAGTAGTAATTTTTCCACATTTAAAGCTTTTTTCATCATTTAAAAATAGCTATTACACATGGCTAGCGTTATTCATAGTTGAAGGCATAGGCTATATTACAACTGCCAGCTTCATCACTTAGCTATGTAATTTCAGAAAAATCGCTTCCCTTCCCAGAGCCTCACTTAACTCTTCTTTAAAGTGAAAATTAGAGTACCTATCTCAAAAGATTGCTGTAAAAATTAAACAGGATATTCTTTGAAAAGTATATAGCACAGTGCACAGGACAAAATGCTCAGTGGAAACAATCTACTAAAATTCACCACTGAATGATCCTGGATCCCATCTATATCTTCATTATTAGGATGTTTTTATAGGGACTCTGTGATGGCTGGGAGACAGTTAAAAAAGATTTTAGATTTTATTTTAAAAAAGTTATTAAGTTCCTACTCCTCTCATTGACTCCTCTTTCATAATGACCATCAGCCTCCTAGATGCCAATAGTTGGCAGGGAAATGAGCCAGGCCAAATGCTGGACCAGAGTAGTCTCTTCACTTGACTTGCAGGAAGCCCCAAGCCTTATGCAAAGTCACACTCTCCTGAAAGGCAATGAAGCTTGTCAGTGAAAGACTCTATGGTATAAATCTTTTGGTGAAGACTTTCCCAAATGTACAGAAAAGAAACAACCACTGTATATTAATTTTGCAAATAGTCAGGCTTTAAAAATATTTATTTATTTTCATTTGAAGAAGCAGAGAGAGGGAAGGATAGGCAGAGAGAAATCTATCCACTGTTTGACTCCTCCAATGACTTCAATGGCTGGAGTTGGGTTGAGATGACGCTGGGTGCTCAATCTACGTTGCCCACACGGGTGGTGGGGACCCAACCACTTAAGTCATCTTCTGCTGTCTCCCAGTGTGCACTAGCGGGAAGCTGGATCCTAACCACTAGGCCAAACACCTGCCCCCAAGCTTTTGATGAATTTGATAAGTCTTATCTGCCAAGATTCGAAAAAGAAAGCAACTAAAACAGGTAGAACCTGTCCTTTTATGAGGAGAGGAAAAAAAAAAAAAAAGATGACCCATTGTGTCAAAGTTTAGGTTAGTAACATCCTTCCACATCACTCATGGCACACAGAACACTATCAATTTCTTCTATCCTGTCTCATGAAGTATACTTACTCTAACCTAACAGATTCTTGCTATTCCAGATGAAAAATGGGAGATTTGGGTCCAGCACTGTAGTGCAGTGGATTATGACACTATGCCACATCAACATCCCTTATGAGCTCCAATTTGAGTCCCAGCTGCTCTACTTCCGAAGCAGCTTCCGCTAATGTGCCTGGGAAAGAAGCAGAAGATGGCCCAAGACTTTGATGGAGCTCCTGGCTTGGGCTTGGCCCAGTCCTGGCCATTGTGGTTATTTAAGGAATAAATCAGTAGATGAAAGATCTGTCTGTCTCTCCCTCTTTCTCTGTAACTCTGCCTTTTGAATAAATAAATCTTTTTTTAAAAAAAGAAGAAAAAGGGGAGGTCTGTGTGACCTGTACTTTTATGTACATTTTCTCTTTCACAACATACACTCTCATTTTCCTTTTTTTTTTTTTTTTTTTTAAGATTTATTTATTTATTGGAAAGGCAGAGTTACAGAGAGGCGGGGTTGGGGGGCGTCTTCCATCCACTAGTTCACCCCCCAAACGGCCACAAATGCCAGAGCTGGGCTGATCTGAAACCAGGAGCCTGGAGCTTCTTCCAGGTCTCCCATGTGTATGCAGGGGCCAAGGACTCCAGGTCTCCCACACGTGTGCAGGCGCCCAAGGACTTGGGCCATCTTCTACTGCTTTCCCAGGCCATAGCAGAGAGCTGGATCAGAAGAGGAGCAGCTGGAACTTGAACCAGCGCTCACATGGGATGCTGGCACTGCAGGCAGCGGCCTTACCCAATATGCCACAGTGCCGACCCCCACATTCTCATTTTCAAAATGCAACTGCATCAGCCAGCACTGCAGCTCACTTGGCTAATCCTCTGCCTGCGGCTCCGGTACCACAGGTTCTAGTCCTGGTCGGGGCACCGGATTCTGTCCCTATTGCTCCTCTTCCAATCAGCTCTCTGCTGTGGCCCAGGGAAGGCAGTGGAGGATGGCCCAAGTGCTTGGGCCCTGCACCCACATAGGAGACCAGGAGGAAGCACCTGGCTCCTGGCTTTGGATCTGCGCAGCATGCTGGCCGTAGTGGCCATTTGGGGGGGTGAACTAACAGCAGGAAAACCTTTCTATGTCTCTCTTTCACTGTCTAACTTTCCCTGTCCAAAAAAAGAAAAAAAAAATGCAACTGCATCAAAATTCCCTGTGGGAGTGGGTGCATGGCATAGGAATTAGGAAGCTCATGGAGATACTGGTGTACCATATCAAAACACTTGGGTTTCAATCTTGGCTCCACTGATGGTACCAATGCACCAGTAATGCACACCCTGGCAGTAAGCAAGTGATGGTTCAAGTAGTTAAGTCTCTGCCTCCTAGCCCCATGTGGAAGCCTTCAGTTCAGCTCCCAGTCTCCTGCTCTGTCCTGGCTCAGCCCTAGACATTGCAGGGATGTGGGGAGTAAACCAGTGGGTAAACCAGTGGGTTTGTCTCTTTCTGCCTCTCAAACATTTAATACATTAAAAAAAAAATTAAACTGCCCTCTGTAGCTTGAAGAGGTCTTCTAAAATATAGGAAAACAACGCAACTGTTAATTCTCTTGGATTTTTTTTTGAAAAACAATTCTAATGTAAAACAGAGTAGAGAAAAATGTAAGTACTCATGTGTGTACCAATCAGATTTAATAAATGTGAACATTATCATTTAATAATTTATCTACTCGCAATTTTAAAACAAATTTTAAAAATTTACTCCTGGCTCCTGGCTTCAGATCGGCGCAGCGCCGGCCGTGGCGGCCATTTGGGGGATGAACCAACGGAAGGAAGAGTAGATGAAAGATCTGTCTGTCTCTCCCTCTTTCTCTGTAACTCTGCCTTTTGAATAAATAAATCTTTTTTAAAAAAAGAAGAAAAAGAGGTCTATGTGACCTGTACTTTTATGTAAATTTTCTCTTTCACAACATACACTCTCATTTTTTTTTTAAGATTTATTTATTTATTCTCTCTCTCTCTCTCTCACTGTCTGTCAAATAAAAAAAAAATTAATTGCGGTTGCTTTCACTAAACATGTACCATAAGGCAGTTCCTCAGTACTGTCAGAAAAATGACTCCATGAACAGTTGTTTCTGGTTTTGGAAGTACAGTGGTGTGGAAAGGTTAAGTATGGTTCACCAGTATGGGATACTGACTACTTCCAATGTAGCTTCCTGCTAATGTGGCTGGGAAACAGCAGATGATGGCTCAAGTACTTGAGTGCCTGCCACCGATGTGGGAGACTGGGCTGGAGTTCCTGGCTCTTGGCTTTGGCTTGGCCCAGTCCCAGCTATTAAGCCATTTGAGGAGTGAACTAGCAGATAAAAGATCTCTGTCCCTCCCTCTACCACTCTGTTTTTCAAATAAAATCTTTTTTAAAAAGTATATTTAATTTAAAAATAAATAAAATTCATTCAAAACCCTATACCAAATCTATGATGTGATATTAATGAAGACAATGTGATGTTGGCAGAGTATAAAGACAGTTCAATGAGACAAAATATACTAGTTAGTATACAACAACAGTGACAATTTTCATGTGGAAAACATAAACCATTCAATAAATATTGAAGACCACCCTTTGTGGGGATGAGGGAGACATCAGATCAAGATATCTCACAACATACAGAAATAAACTTCAGATGGACTGAAAAGGTAAACATATGAAGCACAGAAGGAAATATGGAGAATATTTAATAATTTAAAAAGTGAGGAAACCTTTCTTAAGCAGAAGAAAAGTATCCAAAATTAATAATGTAAATTTATAATGTTAATAAATTTTATTGAAAATATGAAATTTCTATAAGGCACAGAATATATTGCTAAAAGACAGTATCCAATTGAGAGAAAATATTTGCCATCATGTGTTCCAAGAGGAGAATTAATCACTAATTGTAGAATAGTTAGAAGGCAATGATTCTAATGTAATATCAAATATAACATACAAAGAACTCCCTAACTGGGCAAAGGATATTAATATGTAATTCACAGAAAACTCAAATGAACAATAAATAAAAATTTACAAACAAACTACCTCACTATTTAGTAGTCAAGCAATGAAAAAGCCAGCATTTGGCATAACAGTTAAGATGCAGCTTAGGGATACTCACAATCCCTATCTGAGTGACTGATTCAAGTCTATTCAGCTTTCTATTCCAACTTCTAGTTAACCCAGCACCTGTTGATTCAAACAGCCGGGTCCCTGGCACCCATGTGGGAGAACCACTCCTGATTTCAGCCTGGCCCCGCCTGTACTACTGTGGGCATTTGGAAAACAAAAAAGTGGGAGATCTCTGTCAATTTTCTGTCTCTTCACCTTTTAAATAAATAAATTAGGTAAACAAATAATGTTTTATGTTTACATGTCAACAAAGTTAATAATTCCATTTTAATAATACCACAGATATAATCACACAAATGTATATACACTATTTCATATACACAGAGATATGATGGCAAAATGACAGTGCTCAGTAAATATTTGTTATGTGATAGGCATAGTTCTAAGACATTTATAAACTCATTTAATCTTTATAACAATACTACAAATTACATCTATAATTCTCATCTACATTTTATATATGAGAAAAGCAAAGTATGGTGAGGTTAAGCAGCTTGCCCAAGGTGATAGAGTAAGCAGTAGACTTGGGACCTAACTCAGGGATTCTGACTTCAGTATCACTTCTGCCACTACAGAAGCCTACTGCCTCTGCCTCCCCAAACAATGATGTTCACTGCATGGTCATGAAATACCAAATACTGGTAATAGCCACAATCAGAGACTGGTGAAATAATGGTGACTGGCCATTCATTGTGTAGGAAAAGAAATGATATAGAGCCAACATACATACACAAATATTTATATTATATGAAAACAAATCACAAAAAAGGTTTAGCATAATTTCATTTGTATCTTAAAAACAATTTATTTATGTTCATTTGCTTAGACTCCAAAAATTTACATACCAAACAGTACTACTTCCTTTTAGGGAGGAGAACAGGATAAAAGAGTAAGGGTAATGAGAAATTTTCATTATTTAATCTTTGTGTTATGTGGTATAGTTTATAAATGGCAAGTTACTATTTTTATATTAAAAGCAAATTACAAGCAAATATGGAGGTAGAGCCATAGGTTTGATAAGATGCAAATAAGAATGACACTACAGAATTTACTTCTATGTGAAACAGTTAAGTTTACTAAGATCATAGTAATAAATTGAAGAACTCTCAATCTGGCCAATAGTTTGAAACATTTTGACACTGACTATCATACCTAAGATTGTCACATACTATTACAAATGTATAAAACACCATTAGTGAGAATCAAACTCCTTAGGTTCAAGTTGTGGCTCCACTATTTGGAAGCTGTGTTATTTGGGGTAAGTCATCTGACCTCTGTGTCTCAATTTCCTCATTGTAAAACAGGGTTATTAGTATTCACCTCTTTTGGTTAATATTTATAAATTACTTATAGCAGCTGCATAAAACTAGTAAAGATTTGCTCTAAAGAGAAAAATTTAAAACTTAAGAAAATACACATAGGCCGGCGCCGCGGCTCACTAGGCTAATCCTCCGCCTAGCGGCGCCGGCACACCGGGTTCTAGTCCCGGTCGGGGCGCCGGATTCTGTCCCGGTTGCCCCTCTTCCAGGCCAGCCCTCTGCTGTGGCCAGGGAGTGCAGTGGAGGATGGCCCAGGTGCTTGGGCCCTGCACCCCATGGGAGACCAGGAAAAGCACCTGGCTCCTGGCTCCTGCCATCGGATCAGCGCGGTGCGCCGGCCGCAGCGCGCCGGCCGCGGCGGCCATTGGAGGGTGAACCAACGGCAAAGGAAGACCTTTCTCTCTGTCTCTCTCTCTCACTGTCCACTCTGCCTGTCAAAAAAAAAAAAAAAAAAAAATACACATAAATATGTTATTAAGCTAAGAGTATTCGCTCCCCTTCCAAAGATATAAATAAATTCTCCAAAGTAAACTAAGTGCACCCCGCACAGTGCCTAATATTGTTTCACAAAGCTTAAAAAGGTTCCGTAGACACATGTATGAATAGGGTCCTATAATGTAAAATGCATTTCTCATGGTCACAAGTATGTCAGAGCAACTCCAACACAGCATACAAACAAGTGGCTGAGAGCTCTATGTGCTGCTACCACATCCCGAGATCAAACCTCACCACATCAAGCCTGGCTTCTATCTTAGGTTCTTTCATCTAAGAGGGCTGCATAGTAAACACACTGTTTTCAAACCTCAGTAGATACATAAACATCCTATCTTAAAACAAAATCAAAACACTTTCTCCTCCTAAAATATTCTCTATTGTCTCCCAATGAAAGCCATTATCACTGTATTTTTTGAAGAGATCAAGAAATCCTCTCCCTCAAACTTTTTTCCCCTCATCAAAGTTCATTCTGATTTTAAAGCCACCTCATCCAAATTTTCCATTTATGTAGGTTTATTTACAAACTTTTTATTCTGTCATTGCAACAGACAACACAAACAACTAAGAAACTGTAACACCCTGCCAAAAGTAACAATCTGTCTTATTATCTGTAGTTACTGTGTTTCCAGAATAAAAGCATCACATGTAATTGGTATTTTAAAATTAGGCTTATTTCAATATATAATCAACTTTATTTGGCATATTTTAAACCTCTAGTTCTCAAAGTATTTGTCCTCTTATATTGTCTTTTCAACACACTATTCCTCTCAGTCTAATGACATTACCTACATAACCTGTTTAAAATGAAGTCAATTGTACAGTCCCCAAAACCCCTAGCTTTTCCTTCTAGCACTTTTCTGGCGGGGGACACCAAAACTAATCCAATATCCTTTCATCAATATCTCTTGTGTCATCTTCACAGCTGGAAAGTAGTAGAAATTTGCACGTTTACCAAGTCAGTTTAGATTAAGATTATGAAAGCCAATTTAGAAGCTGTTTAGTTCAATCACCTCATTCTACAGATGAGGAAATCTAGATCTAGAGAAGTTAAGTAACTTCCTCGGAGTCACATGCTTTGGACTGAATTGATGTATGAACACAGCACCACCAACTTTGTTTTATCTGATTAAAGAAACAGCCCCCCATAATTGTAAACATTAACAAATCTCAAACATTAAAAGTTAGAATATTCTCTAAGATTTTTCAAAAGTAGACTGAAATAACTAAGAATTTACTATAAAAATCTTATTTTACAGGAAAACAAGTTGAATTCTCAAAGTATTATTACCTTGTTATCGAAGCCAAGAATAAGATTTATACTTAATGAATTAATTGGTACTTAAAACATAAGACCACATTACTTCCAAATATTTAATTTCTAAATTTTGACTTTAATAGTTTCTCTTACTGTCTTTTAAACTACTTTTCTGATACGAATGGAAAAATCATGAATTTATTAAAATCCACTCTTAAGATTTCCTACCTGTTGTTCATCCTCCATGACGTTACTAGCAAATTCAAATACTAGGTCGTTCTGTTGGACAACAGCAGCCATAATAAAGCATTCCCCTTAGATCCACATGAGAAAAGTTCCGAGCAGGTTCAATTATCAGGCAGCAGAGTGCAGGGACCAATTTGGGTAAAATCTTCAACTAAACTAAGGCTGTGAAGGAACTCTGTACATAGGTTAACTTCAGGAAAGGTGCTTCAAATTCTCTTGGTTTGTCGATATTCTACTCAAACTGAGGCAATGCTGCTGAAAATTTTGTTCTCTCAAGCGTCTTGGCCTGAAAAAAAAAGTTTGAAGTTAGTTATGAAAACCCAATTACTCATTTAGAATGTAACAATTAATACAGAGCATTGTATGTCCAAAGCAGTTTTTTCTTAATCTTTTAAAATAAAATCAACATGACTTATGAACATTTTTAAGTTATATTTTCTTTGAATACTTTACTCCTGCTACAGTAAGATTACCCTTTTATTACTAAAAATGAGCCCTTTCTCTTCCTTTCTCCAGCTAAACAGTTAAAAGTACCACATAATTTAAAACAAAAAGTAGGAAAAAATCCAGCAATAATAATGAGGTTTATAGGTATAATAAAGGACATACTATTTCCTTCTTTCCACTAACCCTGCAGTCTACCATCAAAGTAACCTCATAATATATATTTTTGTTTTTGACAGAAAGAAACACCATCCCTGTTAGGCCTAATATATACCAGAATTCAAATTGTAATAAATCTAAGGTTTAGTAAGTACTATTTTAAAGGATTTTTTAAATAATCAAAAACTAAAAGCCCACCCTTTCTATTGTTTCTGTTAAGTAGAAAGCTTTAAGAGTTACCATGCAAGTCTGTCTTCAGTGGCTTCTTTTTTAATGCACTGAAATGTATCCTTATCTCTAGCACAGGCTTGCAAGCAACAGGAAGGAAACGGCACTTGACCACGTCATGGCAAATTAGAACATGCAAAGAACTGCAGTTTACAATAGTAGAAAAACAGAAACGCAACTTCAGAGGGAAAATAATTTCACAGCAGAGGGAGAAATGCTTTAAAAATGCCTGCCAAAGATACGTGCCTATTTTTTTAAATGTTACCACTACAAGCAGCAGTACGAGAAAATTTTAACTTAGGTGTTTATTACAATTTTTTTTATTAAATATTTCATCAAATGGTTATGGACAGAAATGCAACATGAAGAGGCAAATATATAAAATGATCACATTAAATAATACCAAGTTCTTTGAAAGAACACAAATTTAATATAAAAAATCCAAGAGAAAGAGAAAGAAAGAAGTTGACTCCAAGGAAAGGATGGCTGTTAATTTCCCAATAGCTTTAAAGGGACAAATTCACCAATTAAAGTGACACAGTCCATCAGTTTCCCTGAAAACTAAAGTCCAGCTAGTTTGTGCTGGCCAAATCATATGCCTGATTTCCTAATTTCAGTAAAGCCAATAACCTGTGTATTCCAAGCCTAGGGGTCACCACAGATCACTGTAATTTCCCCAACTAGAAATCAAAATAAAGATTAAGAAAAAATTTAGATGATATTTTTACTCACTAAACCTAATTCCAACTCAGCAGTTTCCACTGCCACTTGCCCAACTCCTCTTAATAAGTTCAACTCAAACATTGGAAAAGTATTTTTAGTACATTCTGTTAGTTTTCTGAGTTTTGATGGGTACCATATCTAGAAGAAAAAATGTTTCAACCTAAGCACAGTTAAACATATGAACGTAAGCTATATTTAGCCTTAGACAAAGGCTACTTACATGATCTTCTTCCTTAAATTACCACCCAATCCAATTCCTTTATAGTAGAGGCCTCATTTTCCATGTTCCACCATTCAACCTTCATTTTCGACTCCCTTCTTAATTTCTATTACTTCCCATGATTGGAACAACCTCTCCATTTTTCAAGGTTCAACTCAGTTCCCATCTCTTTCACAAAGCTTCCCAACTGGAATGCCTCAACCCATAGTTAAGATTGCTCCCCTTAAAAAACATATCACTGAATTCTACAGCAATTTAACACTGTTACTATGACACGCTGAAAACTCTGTCCCCTAAATCCAAATGAATAAATGTTTGACTGCCTATTTTTGCAAGAGAGTGTTCCAGACACCAAGATAATTAGAACAACACGTCTTCTGAGGAAGTAACCATTGTCTAAAATATTTTTTGATCCTATCAAACCTGTGTTGTATGCCCTAAGTCATAATAAATAAACATTATATTAAAATATTAGTTTAAATATCTATGATTAGACATTGCTTTAAATATCTATTTGGTATTCTAGCTATTCCCCACATATATTTTTCAGATGAATGACTGAAGTATTCTGATAAAGGAGGAAACTATGATCATAAATTTGAAAAACCACAGCCAAAAAGAAAAAAAAAAAAAACCAGAATAAAGGAATGTTGCCTGATACAGAAGTTCTCTGTAAAACGTTAGGTCTCAAAAGGCTAGTCTAAAAATCTATTTGTTGGTAAGTACAAAGTAACAGCATACTACTAACATACCTACCTAAAAAGTTAAGTTTCACTTTCTTTTCCATTTCAATCATGTACTTTATCTTATTAACACTTGCACACTGTTATTGTGCTTTAATCTTTCAAAATTTGAAAAATAGCCAGTGCTGTGGCATAGGAGGTAAAGCCACTGCCTGAGATGCTGGCATTCCATATGGCTGTCGGTTCGAGTCCCAACTACTCCACTTCCCATCCAACTGCCTGCTAATGTGCCTGGGAAAACAGCAGAAGATGGCCCAAGTTCCTGGGCCCCTGGCACCCCCATGGGAGATCAGGATGAAGTTCCAGGCTCCTGGCTTCAGCCAGGCTCAGCCCTGAATGTTGTAGCCATTTGGGTAGTGAACCAGTAGATGGAAGATTTCTCTTTTCTCTAACTCTGCCTTTCAAATAAATAAAATAAATCTTTTTTTTAAAAGGTCAGAAATAATGTATTTCTAAAAAAGAAAAAAAGATTTCTGCTCTACTCCACCAAAATTGTTAAGGTCCTTAGTACATTTAAAATTTAAATTTAGTCATCATTAAATTAAGAAAAAAACACCACACTGTTCCTTATTAATAGTTCTAATAAATATATTGTTTAAGGGCCAAGGTTGTGGTCTGGTGGGCTATGTCACCACATGCAATGCTGGTGTCCCATATCAGAGCATCAATTTGAGTCCCAGCTGCTGTGCTTCCTATCCAGCTCCTTACTAATGCGCCTGGGAGTGCAGTGGAAGATAGCTCAAATACCTGGGCCCGTCACCCATGTTGGTGACCACTATGGAGTATCAGGCTCCTGGCTGCAGCCTGGCCCAGCCAGTTTCAGCTGATAGAAGTCTCTCGGTCTCCTCCTCTTTCTCTGTCACCCTGACTTCCAAATAAATAAATATTTTTATATAAAACATATTTTTTAAAAAAGATTTATTTTATTTATTTGAAAAGCAGAGTGTCAGAGGCAGACAGAAAGGTCTTTCACCCGCTGGTTTACTCTACAAATGGCTGCAACAGCCCAGGCTGGGCCAGGTTGAAGCCTGGAGCCAGAAGCATATTCTGGTCTCCCATGGTGTTGCAACAGCCCAAGCACCTGGGCCATCCTCTGCTGCTTTCCCAGGTGCACTAGCTGGAAGCTGGATTGGAAGTGCCTGGAATCCAACCCACGCCCATATGGGATGCCTGTGCTGCAGGCAGCTCCGGCTGTTGTGGCCATTTGGGGAGTGAACCAGCGAACGGAAGACCTTTCTCTCAGCGAACAGAAGACCTTTCTCTCTAAATCTGCCTTCCAAATAAATATATAAATCTAAAAAAAAAAAAAAAAAAAAGATAAATGCAGTTGCTTCAAGCCTAGGACTTCACTCTGCCTGGTAAGCTTCTCTTAACAAAGTTCCATTATGCCCCTGTTCTAAACAAAAATGACTTTACCAACTGCATATACAAAACCCTCAGTTATATTACTGGCTGACGCAATCAATATAAAAGGTTAATTTCTTTACTATAAAATATTTCAGGCCGGCCCCGCGGCTCACTAGGCTAATCCTCCGCCTAGCGGCGCCGGCATACCGGGTTCTAGTCCCGGTCGGGGCGCCGGATTCTGTCTCGGTTGCCCCTCTTCCAGGCCAGCTCTCTGCTGTGGCCAGGGAGTGCAGTGGAGGATGGCCGAAGCACTTGGGCCCTGCACCCCATGAGAGACCAGGATAAGTACCTGGCTCCTACCATCGGATCAGCGCGGTGCACCGGCCGCGGTGCACCGGCCACAGTGCCGGCCGCAGTGCCGGCTGCAGTGCCGGCCGCAGCGCCGGCCGCGGCAGCCATTGGAGGGTGAACCAATGGCAAAGGAAGACCTTTCTCTCTGTCTCTCTCTCTTACTGTCCACTCTGCCTGTCAAAAAATAATAAATAAATAAATAAAAATATTTCAGGCACTACAAAAATTTGAAAGTCAAAAGCAGTCAAAATTAATCCATTATTTAATGTAAACTTTGCTTTAAAGATTTATTTATTTGAAGTCAGAATTAAGAGAGAGGGTGAGACACCAAAATATCCTCTATCTGCTGACTCACTCCCCAGATGGCTGCAACAGCTAAGGCTGAGCCAAGCCAAAGCCAGAAGCTTCATCTGGGTCTCCCACATGGGTAGCAAGGGCCCAAACACTTCGGCCATCCTCTGCTGCTTCTTCCAGGCCATTAGTAGGAGGCTGGATCAGAAGTGGAACAGCCAGGACATGAACCAGTGCCCATATGGGACGCTGGCATCCAGGCGATGGCTTTACCCAGTATGCCACTATGTCAGCCCCTATTTAATGTAAGCTTAAGATTCCTTCAAAAGGGTTTTTAGACACAAGGATACAAAAACTCATTAACTCATTTTTAGAAAGTCATTGCTCTCCTTTGGAAGTTACTATGGTACCAACTCATTATAATGGAAATTGATAAATAAAGGGAAATGCGCATCAAGTTTTTAGATTAGAGGACTATGGTGCAAAGATGAAATCAAGCAGGGTCAGCTGAAGGGCTACTCTAACTTTAATAAATCAGACAGTATGTGTGCTTCTGTATATATCCATGTTGGCATGGTGGCAATATCTAAATAATTGGAATTCTAGTACACCAAGCACCTGAACAGAAAGTATCTGACATGAAATGGTAACCTAATAAAAGGTTCTTTTCAACATACAGACAGAACTATTATAAGAAAAGTATATATTTAGAAAAGCTATTAGAATAAATATAGTAGAAAATAAACAAAACAGAAGACAGAGAAGCTATAAAGTTTATAAATGAAAAATAAGCAATAAATACATAAACCATGAAATTTTTACGTGGTAGAACATGGTTAATCCTTTTCATCTGTTTCCTCATTTGGCAGCATGCTCTAGATGAGCTCCAGACAGAAGCAAAAGTCTACTGGTATCAAATAAACTATGCAAAATCTTCCAAGGGCCTGCCCATTCTTAGTCTAGAAAGCACAGAATCAGAGCTGGGCTCTGGCCTCACAGTAAAGATGGCAGGTGGGGTGCCCACTCCTGTGCTGGAATTCCGCTCTGCTCCACAATCCAGCTTCCTGTGTAATGCGGACCCTGAGAGGCAGAGGGGGTCACTCACGTATTTGGGTTCTTGGCTTTCTGGATTTGGCCCCAGCCAGGGGTTGCTGCAGGTATTTGGGGAGTGAATTAGTGGATGGGAGCTTTTTTCTACTGTCTAAAACCACTCTCTCTAATTTTCAAAAACATTTTACAATATTTTTTAAAAGTATGGAATCACAGGATTTTAGAGCTGAAAAAGACCAAAGGATTACCTACCTAGGATAACACATTCACTGTAAAGTAGACTGCAGATTTTTCTATTATTGCTTTAAATCTCTAAGGTTTCACTATCACTGTTCTCTTCCCAAAGTCTACCATATCATATCATCTTGCTTTATAGCATCACCCAGCCTAAAAGATGAAAAAGAAAGTTTTATAAGTCTTTTTGTAAGGTTATCACAACTTAATAACTTATTAAAATATTTTGAAGTAGATATTTAGTTACACATTTCTTTTTAGTTTAAATGTAGTTATTATTGCTATCATCAAAAAGTGAAATAAGGAAAAAACAAGACAGATACCAAAATGTAGTTAGTCAAATAACCAAATTTGGACTTCCCCAAACAGGTGTAATATTCTCTCAAATCCTGCAGAGTAAGGGAGAAACAGGAACTAATTCTGAAATAAATCACATTATACATCTCCCTAAATCATATACTATATATACAATATAGATGGAAAAGACAAAATATCACAAGGCAAACATCATTCCTCATTGCAATCAGCATTCTCATGATTTAATTTAAAAAGGAATTTCTACATTTTAAAATTTCTAATTTTAAAAAATTATTTCTACACACTCTTATCTACACCCAAAAAGTTTTAAAATATACTTTTGGAATCCATCTAGGTAACACAGTGTATTACCACCAGTATTTCTTAAATAGCTATTCTACACAACTACTTAAATTGGGCATTCTTTAACCTAGATTAGGTAATCTTTAACTGGGGGCAGTATCTCTTTTATATTACTCTTTCTTTAATGAGGGAAAGAGGGAAGATGGGAGTAAAGTACCCAGAATTTTATCAAAAGTAACTTTGATGTAAATAAATCAAAAGCTGATTTTTTTTTTTTTTTTTTTATTAAGAAAGTCTCTGTCAGGCTTCTTGCGACCTATGGAAAGCTGAAGCAAGTCTTGGCAACCTGACAAGCTTACCTTAGCTTCAACCATGCTAATTAGAAAAAGAAAAAAATCAGTCTGATCAAACCAAACAGCCTGACTTCTCTATGCCTTTGCCTTTTTGCTGACACTCAGATGAACAGTTCCAGGACTCTCAGACAGACTGCAATTACTCACTACCCAGACCTGAAATTCCAGTTCTTTCACATAGTTCTCCACTTTCCATCATTGGCCACTGGGGCCTACCTGGCATTAGATTACACTCAGACAGCATTTATAGCACCTTGCAAAACAGCCAAACAGATCACATACCTAGACCTGTCCATACCTGTGGACTCAGGATTAACCCCTTTTCCTGAGCATGTTCTGAAAATAACAGAATTTAAAACGAAAAGAAAATAACAATAATCACATACAATGTTTTAACCTTGGTCATGAAAAAAAGTTTAAACTTCTTTTCTTTTTGGAAAAGGCTGAAAGTTGCATTTAGCAAAATGTCACTAACTGATGTTTTTAAAGTATACTTTAAAAACTCATTGAAAGACTTTCTTTCTTCTAGTACCCAAAATCTTAACTCTGACAATAAACACCTGGCCAGGGAACACAAACATGCTAAACTGTCCTTATCAGTAAAACCTGTTTGGGCAGCTAAAGAATTTCTCTCTACACAAACAAGAATTAACTTGCAAGGAAATTCTTTTTCATTTCTATGGCTGTTTATTCCTCTAGTTAAGATTTTCACCTTCTTAGAAAAAAAATCTATATATGCTCTAGCACAATGGTTGCCTGCCACTCTGTAGAATACAGCAGATTCACAACCATAACAGTGTTTCACTAAGGCAGCCATTAAGCAGATCTGTTTAAAAGTTACTCCAGAAGATTTTACTACATGCCTAACACCCGCCTCTAATTCTCTCATTGCATAACCCTCTTTTAGTAGAAATTCCACAGTCATAAGAAGTTCCACTCTTAAAAAGAGAAACGCCATTAGCTAAAAGCAAAATTTAACTATCAAGTACTCTGCTTTCTAGCCATAGACGGCATTATTAGCTGATGGCTGCTTCCTGTATTCATTTCCTCATTACCTCCATTCTATCTCCCATCCAGGGGCTCCTCAGCCTGGAGTAGCAGCCATTCACCAAAAATGAAAATATGACTAACTTCTCTACATAGCACAAATCGGTGGCTTCCATTAACACAGTCATGACATGGTAACAGTATGAGAAGACTGTAGTCAGATTTGTGAGACAGGATATTCAATTACCTATACTGGAAAAGTGAACAGGAATATTCCATGAATCAAGCTTAAAAGTACACCTCTAAGCTACAGTAGTCAATACAATGAAGTTCTGATAAAAAAAAAAAAAGTAGATAAATGGAGCAAAATTAGCAGTCCAAAAACAGACCCACATAAATACAGTTAATGGACATTTGACAAAGTAACAAAGGCAATACAATGGAGAGAAGATAGTTCTTTTAACAAATTGTGCTGGAACAAGTAAACATTCACATGCAAAAATATCAGTCTAGATTCAGATCTTGCACCCTTTGCAAATATAATTCAAAATGGATCACAGGGCTAAATGTAAAATGCAAAACCATAAAACTCGTGAAACACAGAAAAATCTAGATGATCCATGAATTCAGTGATGACTTTTTAGCTACATCAAAGGCAGGATCCTTTTGAAAGAAAGAATTGATAAGTTGGGCTTCATTAAAGTAAAAAATGCCTGCTCTATGAAAGATAATGTCAAGAGAATGAGAAGACAAGTCTCAGACTGGAAAAAAGTATTTGCAGAAGACACAACTGATAAAGCACTATTAGACAAAATGTTCTAAGACTTCTTAAAATTGAATAAGCCAAGAACTCTATTAAAAAATGGGCCAGGCCGGCGCCGCGGCTCACTAGGCTAATCCTCCGCCTAGCGGCGCCGGCACACCGGGTTCTAGTCCCGGTCGGGGCGCCGGATTCTGTCCCGGTTGCCCCTCTTCCAGGCCAGCCCTCTGCTGTGGCCAGGGAGTGCAGTGGAGGATGGCCCAGGTGCTTGGGCCCTGCACCCCATGGGAGACCAGGAAAAGCACCTGGCTCCTGGCTCCTGCCATCGGATCAGCGCGGTGCGCCGGCCGCAGCGCGCCGGCCGCGGCGGCCATTGGAGGGTGAACCAACGGCAAAGGAAGACCTCTCTCTCTGTCTCTCTCTCTCATTGTCCACTCTGCCTGTTGGGAAAAAAACCGGCACCCATATGGGAAGCTGACATGGGCTTAACACGTTAACATATACCTCACTAAAGAAGACAGGTAAGCTTATTAAGATGCATAGGAGGTACATGAAAAGATGCTCACGTCATCAGGAAAGGCAAATTAATTTTTTATAAAAAACTTTTATTTAATAAATATAAATTTCATAAGTACAACTTTTGGATTATAGCGGTTCTTCCCCCTATAACCACCCTCCCACCCCCAAACGATCCCATCTCCTACTCCCTCACCCATCCCATTCTTCATTAAGATTCATTTTTAATTATCTTTATATACAAAAGATCAACTCTATACTAAGTAAAGATTTCAACAGTTTGCACCCACACAGACACACAAAGTATAAAGTACTGTTTGAAGACTAGTTTTACTGTTATTTCTCATAGTACAACACATTAAGGACCGAGGTCCTACATGGGGAGCAAGTGCACAGTGACTCCTGTTGTTGATTTAACAATTGACACTCTTATTTATGATGTCAGTGATCACCCGAGGCTCTTGTCATGAGCTGAGGCAAAGGCAAATTAAAATGACACTACACACCTATTGTAATGACCAAAATCCAAAACACTCAATGCTGGTAAGGATGCCGGGCAACAGAAACTGTCATTTATTGCTGCTGGATATGCAAAACAGTATAGACTCTTAGGAAAACAGTTTGGGTATTTCTTAAAAATTATTCATACCCTTACTATATGATACACCAGTCATACTCTTTCGCATTTACCCAAAGGAAGTGAAAACTACATCTACACAAAAACCTGGACATAGGTATTTATAGCAACTTTATTTATAACTGCCAAAACCTGGAAGCAACCAGTATGTCCTTTACATTCACACAATAAAGTAGCATTCAGCTCTAAAAACAAATGAGTTACCAAATCACAGACAAAGAAGAAACTTAAATGCACATTACTGACATTTGTCCAAATCCATTTAAATGGACATTACCACAAGCAAATTCTAACGTAAACTATGGGCTTTGCGGATGATGATGTGTCAGTGTACATTCACCAATTGTAGTAAATGCACCACCCTGGCACGTTTGTTGATAATGGGGGAGGTTAAGAAATCTGTAGAGAGAGCATATATGGAAAGTCTCTGTACCTTCCTCTCAATTTTTCTATGAAACTAAAAGTGCCTTAAAAAACAACACACCTCTGTCATAATTTTACTATACTTCACCATCATCTCAAAAACAGATGTTTCAGCATTTCTGCATTTTACAGTTTCCTCATCTCCTGCTACCCCACTATTAAAGCCAAAGTCTTCCCTGCCCTGATAGATCGCACCAAAAACTTAGTAATACTATCCTTTGCCAGGCTTTCGGTGCCCACCATCAAGCTCAATCTAGAACTTTCCACATATTTTCTCTTGATTAGAATCACAGTTCCTGTGACATTTTATTTTAGTATCATCTTCCCAGTCATGGTACAATCAGACTTAAAAAATATATACTGCAGGAAAATCAAATATCTCCATCTTTTCCCAAGTTCTCAACAAGTTGGAAAGACTTTACATCTCTTGTGCCCTAAATTCTATTCCCTATGCAGGAGAAGGCTCTTAATTATCTACTCATTTCATAGTGCACTCCCTTTAAAAAAAAAAAAAAGAGATCTATTTATTTATAAGTCAGAATTAGAGACAGACAGAGACAGAGAGAGAATGAATCTTCCATCCGCTGGTCCACTCCCTAAATGGCCCCAACGGCCAGTGCTGGGCCAGGCCAAAGCCAGGAGCTTCCTTGAGGTCTCCCACGTGGGTGCAGGAGCCCAAGCATTTATGCCATTCTCTGCTGCTTTCCCAGGCACACAAGCAGGGAGCTGGATTGGAAGTGGAGGAGCCGAGATTGGAACCAGTGCCCATATGGGATACCAGTGCTGCAGGCAGCGGTTCAACACACTGTGCTTCAGCATCACACCCCCTTCTTCTTTAAATAATAATTAAAAAAAGTTAAGTAAGTTTGGATATAAT